CATTCTATCGCGATATTTCATTTTCCTATCGTTGCCTAACATTATACCGGTATTACCGTGAACGGTATAATATGGCCCAGCCCTAATCCCAATACTTGCTCTTTCCTGCTTCTCTTTCCTGTAGGGTCTGAAGAACCAGTCTCATATCAAGCTGAATATTGTGAGATGTCCCCCAGTGACTACTGTACTCATCAGACGGCCAGACCTGCGCTACCAGCTGGGTTTCAGTGTCCAGAATGGCATTGTGAGTAGTGTCGGCTCTGTTACATGATAACTGCAATTTTGTTACATTTCTTGAGTGATTTTATTTGTTATTTTTAAAGAAAAAGTGACATCTCTTCAACAGATTTGCAGCCTAATGCGTGGGGGCATTGCCGAACGGGGCGGGGTCAGAGTTGGTCACCGCATCATCGAGATCAACAGCCAGAGTGTGGTGGCCACGCCCCATGAAAAAATTGTCCACATCCTGTCCAGTGCTGTGGGAGAGGTAAGACATTGCATCATATTATACATAACAAGGAAATCAGGATCTTTCGATGCACAACAGTTAAAAGTGAAACACTGCAGTCTATTGTGCCTAAGGCCTTTCTGGGTGGTGCATTTGTGGGTTTCCTCTGGGTACTATGGTAAATGGACTGATTCTTATATAGCGCTTTTCTACTCTCCTGAAGTACTCAAAGCGCTCTATATAACATGCCTCATTCACCCAATCTACACTCAGTGCTTTCTAAGTACACTCATACTCCGATGGATGCATCGGAGAGCAAGTTGGGGTTAGTGTCTTGCCCAAGAATACTTGGCATGCAGACTGCCAGGGATCGAACCACCAACCTTCCGATCAGTTGGTGACCTGCTCTGCCTCCTACAGCCACCCTATAGGTACTCCGGCTTCCTTCCTGGTCCAACGACATGCATGTAAAGTTAACTGGTTATTCTAAATCGATCATAGGTATGAATCCAAGGTGCACACAGCACTTACATCTATAGGATAGAATACTTTATCAGTATGTGGGAAAAAGCTTTATATACGCTGATCAGGCATAACATTATGACAACCTGCCTAATATTATTTTAGTCCCCCTGTTGCTACCAAAACAGCTCTCACCCACTGATCCATGGAGTATCTGGCACCAAGATGTTATACACCACTCTGCATTGAATAATAACTTATTATTAATCTCTGGCTCTCTGCCACAGCATGTCTTTAATCCTGACTTCCTTCGCTCACCACAACCGGTCATGGCAGACTCTTCCTGTTAAAAGCTGCTGGGGATCGAGCTGGTCTGACTCGCCTCTGGGTCTTGGGAGTGACAAGACTTTTGCCCAGTTCTTCCAGGAAAAGCCGACGTCGGTACAATATGCTGGCATTCCAATGTTGGATGATTTCAGTCCACAGGACATTGTAAGCTGACACATCCAAAATGTTGTAGAAAATTACCAAGGGCCAACGAGCTGTGTTGCACTGGCAGCTGTATGTTGCTGTGACTTTGTCAAGATTGTCTACTCCTCCTTTGGAGCGAGTTGTAGTCTTTGTCTTGAAAGATCCTCTGTCTCTGAAACACCTTCTTCTTCATCACTATCCCAGTTCAAAAGCAGTGATAAAGCTTCTTCAGTCGTCATCCTTCAGGAGCTCATTTTTGGTGTGTTGAAATGACACGAGAACAGTGACAAGAACAGGGGAGAGAAAGTTTCTCGCATACACACCTGGGTCTGATGTATATTCAGAGGCAAGCAGTCAAAACAAAGTACATCAAAGAGAAATGTTTATTTTGGATCTGAACAACTTTTTACTTACATAAAAGTGTGCGGGTCAAAATGACCCGCAACATCATCTTTGTATACAAACACTGCAGAGACATTCCAGGACACATCAAAGTGTCCATATTTTACACACCAGTTCATGACCCCAGATAAGGAAAAGTCATAAGCTTTCATGAAGAAAAAGAAAGGATGACCAGTACTTTGGTCAACACAAAAACTGGAATGGGTCAAATTGGGTCAAACCCTAACCTTATCCGTAACCTTAACAAGCACTTTAATGACTTCAAATAGTGTTTTCCAAAGTGATTTACGTAAAATGAATGAACGTGTAGATTCCAAATGGTTCTCATGTTTCCTCATTTTTCTGATCTCGTCATTTAGGGATGTGTTGGGTGCCTGGAAGCGTAATATGTTGATGATTTGTCACCTAGCGTAAAATATTACGCTTTTGGAGTGAGAACGTGTTGCAGGATTCAGGATTCCAACAATGGCGGCAGCTCCTTAGTTTTAATATTACTCTTATCAAACTTTTAACATATTTTGAGAATGTAGCTGTGTCAACTTCAAATATCTGCTCGGTTTATCAAGATATCACATATTTGCCAAAGTCTCAACGTTTTGAGACGTTGTTACCCACCAGCTCAATAGCTGACCAGGAGGTCAAGGGTCACTAGAGCCGGCAAAAGTAGCAAACTTCCAGCACATCGTTTTCTGATTAACTGATTAAACAGAAGTGTGAGATGGTCGAGAATTTACGCCAGTGTCCTGTTATTAAACTCCTCCGAGACAGCGGTGACGCAAATCCAATTTCACAGCTTCACACTTCCGGCCTTCGAAGGACGCGGCCCACATAGACCGCGAAGGCCGGGTCCTCCAAAGGATGCGGCCTAGGTTTTGGGACACAGCTGTTCTTTTTTTGCTTTGTATCTGTAACCAGACCTTAACGGGAATTCGAATAGAATAGAATAGAATAGAATAGAATAGAATTCAACTTTATTGTCATTGCACATGTCACACTTGTGACATGTACTTACAAGGCAACAAAATGCAGTTTGCATCGATCCAGAAGTGCTTTAGCCATGATATAGATGTCCATGTTATTATTGTGTGTTTGAGGGTACAGTTGTCCATTGTGGGTGTGTGTAGGTGGTTGTGGGTGTGTGTATGTTCAGTCCATGTGTTAACGTGGGTCAGATGTCAGGAGGCAGAGTTCAGGAGTCTGACAGCTGTGGGGAAGAAGCTGTTCCGGTACCTGGTGGTCTTAGTCCGGAGGCTCCTGTGGCGCCTCCCAGAGGGCAGGAGGGTGAAGAGTCCATGTGATGGGTGACTGGGGTCTTTGATGATTTTCCCAGCCCTTTTCAGACACCGCTTCCTGTAGATGTCTTTTATGGCAGGAAGTGGTGCTCCGGCGATGCGCTGGGCAGTTTTCACGACCCTCTGCAACGCCTTCCGGTCCGAGGCAGAGCAGTTCCCGTACCAGACTGTTATACAGTTGGTCAGGATGCTCTCGATGGTGCAGCGATAGAAGTTCACCAGGATGTCTGAGGACAGGTGGTTCTTCCTCAGAGTCCTCAAGAAGAAGAGGCGCTGGTGAGCCTTCTTGACCAGCTTGGAGCAGTTGGTCGTCCAGGTGAGATCCTCGGAGATGTGGACTCCCAGGAACTTGAAGCTGCTCACACGCTCCACAGCCGTCCCCTTAATGTGGATGGGTGGATGTGGGTCAGCATTCCTCCTGTAGTCCACGATGAGCTCCTTGGTCTTCTCGGTGTTAAGCAGCAGGTTGTTTGTGTCGCACCACTCAGCCAGACGATCCACCTCCTCCCTGTAGGCGGCCTCATCGTTGTCACTGATGAGGCCAATCACCGTGGTGTCATCTGCAAACTTAATGATGGTGTTGGAACCATCAGCAGGTCTGCAGTCGTGGGTGAAGAGGGAGTAGAGGAAAGGGCTCATCACACAGCCTTGTGGTACACCGGTGTTCATCGTGATTGTAGATGAGCAGCGGTTATCCAGCCGGACATGTTGGGGGCGGTTGGTCAGGAAGTCCAGTAACCATTTGCAGATGAGGGAACTGATGCCCAGGTCTGTCAGTTTCCTGATGAGTTGTGAGGGGTGGATTGTATTGAACGCTGAACTGAAGTCTATAAACAGCATTCTGGCGTAGGTGTTGTTGTTGTCCAACTTATGGTGGGTTATGAGGTTGTTAATGAGGCCCATGTTGCTCTGATAGCAGCCTTCAGCTGGTCTGTATCGTTGGGTCAGGTGTTTCTCCTATTCCTTTTACTCCAAGACCCCATGTGGTCACGGTCAACAACAGTGCCATTTGACAGTAGCTTTAGGACACTGTGGGTGGGACTTTCATGTGCCTTTTTTACAATCTTGACTTCCAATTAAAATCCAAAATTTAATTTTATCTGAAAAGAGGACTTTGGACAATTGAACAACAGTCTTTGTGGGGTGGCTGTAGCTCAGGTGGTAGAGCAGGGTCAGCTGCTAACCGGAAGGTTCGATCCCAGGCTCCACCAGCCAAATATCCTTGGGCAAGT